GTCTAATTGTTCTAAATTGCTTTTGCAGGCTCCACCATGACAATGGAGCCGTAATCTTGTTTAGAGCGAACCAAAGATCTGTACAAGTGCGGTAGGGTAGTCTGAAGCCCTCCCCACTCTGTATTTGAAACGACCTTTAGCAAGTCAAGAGCATTCCAACACTTCGTCTTCAAATATGGAAGAATGTGTGGTAAGAATGTCAAGTGGCGGTCGCATATGAGTGTCAGGAATTTGGCCTCTTCTACTACCTTGATAGCGGTACCATCTAAGGATAGGTCTGGATCCTTGTGTGGTTTGTATTTACAACAAAAGTGAATACAATTTGTTTTGGATTTTGAAAACTTAAAGCCATTTTCGTTGGCCCATTTTTGGATTTTGTTAAGGCAGAGTTGTAGCTGCCTTTCTATTGCGTGCATGTTCTTACCACGACATAAAATATTGAAATCATCCACGGAAAGGGACCCATCAACACAGCTGTTCAAAACGGATGTGAGGCTGTTAATGTTGATGCTAAAAAGTGTGACAGACAGGATGCAGCCTTGAGAGACGTCCTGGTCTTGGTGGAAATAATCAGACAATGTGGAACCCACACGTATTTGAAATTGTCTGTTGTTTAAAAAACTGAGATATGAACTGAGGTAATCTGCCCCTCAGTCCAAATTCATGAAAATCTTTATTTTACCATGTTTCCGCGTTGTATCATATGCTTTTTCCACGTCGAAAAAGATAGATACAGTATGCTGTTTGTTGACAATGGAATTTTTGATAAATGATTCCAGACGCCCTAGATGGTCAATGGTACTTCGATTCTTTCGGAAACCACATTGGAGGTCACTAAGGAGGTTATTGGCCTCCAAGTACCAGATTAATCGATTGTTGACCATGCGCATCATGGTTTTACAAACACAGATGGTTAGTGATATAGGTCGGTAGTTTGAGGGATCAGTATGATCCCGGCCAGGCTTAGGGATAGGGATGATAATGCCATTGTGCCACGAAGGAGGAAAGTTTCCGGTTGTTCAAATGTCATCAAATATATTGAGTAGTGTTTCCAAACTTGAATCAGGGACGTGTTTTAGAAGCTGATAATGAATATCATCAGCTCCTGTTGCATTGTCGTGAGCCTGCCCCAGGGCAGTACGTAGTTCATGGAGAGAAAGAGTTAAAATTGACTGATTTCATTTCTTGTTGGGTTTGGTATTTCTGGAACTGAGGATTATAAATTGATGAGGAGGAGTGGTTTGCTAAAGTTTCGCCAAGTTTGTTTGAAATTTCAACTTTATTGGTTAAAAGGGAGTCACCATCTTTGAGATGGCGAACACCTGATTTGGACCATTTGCCCTTAATCTTTTGAATCATGTTCCACACCTTGGGCATGGGTGTGCGGGAAGTTATTTTGGACACATATTTCCTCCAAGATCTGCGTTTAGTTTGCTTAAAGGTACGTTTTGCCATGGCATTTGTCATTTTAACAGCAATTAGGTTATGCACAGTAGGATTTTGTTGGAAATAATTTTCCACCTTCTTCCTATTTTTTCTAGCTTGTTTGCAGTTTGCATCAAACCATGGTTTGCGTATGTGCGGGTTTGCAGAGGACTTAGGAATGGGATTTGTCCCCAATGACATGTAGGACGTCTGAAAATATTTCCATGGGATCAGTTACATTCCTGAAATTGTCAGGTTTAAGGTTTTCAGAACATAGGGTTTGGAATAATGGCCAATTGGCCTAAGTAAAATTCCACCTTGTTGAAGGTGCTTCATCTGCGGGATTCATAGGAGTAAGACTTATTGGGGAGTGGTCACGTCCACAAAGGTCATCGTGGACCGACCATTCAAACTCGTTTAAAAGATTAGAATCTGTAAGTGATAGATCAAGAGCAGAGTATGTTCAGGGGCAGGATGGAGATAAGTGTTTGATCCATCGTTCAAAATGCATAGATCATTATTTGAGAGAAAATCTTCAAGAACCTCCCCCTTGTTGTTTTTATCGGAACTCCCCCATAGGGGGTTATGGCCGTTCACGTCGCCCGTGATTATGTTCAATTTATCAGTCCTTTTAAGGTAGGTTTCTCGGAGACAAACGCGGATGCTTTGAAGTCTTGAATCAATAACTGTAATTTGTTATAATTATTCTTAAGTCCTCTGAAATTCCATTGAATCATGTTTTGTGAATTCATGGTGCTTCCACTGGTTACATGTCACGTGAACGTGAAAAAGCGTTTGATGAACTCCTATTGGTGTCAGATGGAGATGGAGTGACCTCCATATCCAGAGGGCCAAAGTAGTTATGGACCTCCATGGGGACCTCTGAAGGAGAAGTGGCCTTTGGTTTTGTGTTTGGCAGTTGCTCAAGCTGCTTTAGGCTCTATAGCTTCTTTTTCCCCTTTTTTGGCGAGCAGTTTCTGTTTCTGGTTTTGGCATTTGTTCTGGTGTTTGTGATTCAGAAGTTTTGACTTTTGGCTTTGGAGATGGAGTGGCTGAGATGAGCAGATCTGAGTTGAGTTGAGTTGGCTGAGAAGACATGACCCATGTCAGATCGGTCTGACATGAGATAGTTGCAGTAGTGATAGAAGGAAGGGAGACAGCAGAAGAGAAGGTGATGGTTGAGGGGCTACAGTTAAACTTGCAACCCTCTTCTTAGCTTCATGAAAAGAGACGTTGTCTTTATAATTATTATCTCTGATGCGCGTTGACACTCGGGAAAAGATTAGGAGGAAGCCATATGGTTACCACCGCAGTTTGGACACTTGACTTCCATAGTACAGTCATTGCTCTCATGCTTGTCACCAGAGCGGTAACAAACAGCAGGAGAAGGACAGGACTTGGATCCATGTCCAATTTTTTTGGCAGTTGTAGCACCGGAGAGGATTAGGTACATACACCTCCACACCAATGCTGCAATAACCGGCTCTAATAGTTTCAGGAATCTTCCATCGGGCGAACGTAAAGAGGTAGGTGTTTGTGGTTTGAACCACACCGTCCTTCCTGATAGTGAATCTCTTCACAGCTGTGACAGACTGCTGGGAAAGTTCCTGGAAAATTTGTTCCTCAGTCATGTCAGACAGGCACCGAGCTCTGTCCCGTACAATGCCTCTACACATGTTCAGTGTTTTGTGCGCAGAGGCAGCAACCTTTACATTGACAAACTCTTGTAATTTCAGTAGATTAAAGGATTGCTGTCTCCGAGCACATTCTACTAGTAGAGAACTGGACCGGAGCTTTATGACATTGGCAACCTCTCCGCAGATACCAGCTATACCCTTGGAGACTGCAAATGGGTTCAGTCACAAGCTTCGATGATCTAACAACGTGGCCAGTAATCGGGTCGAATGGGCGTACTCTCGTCAGACCAGGAATTGTCAGAATCCATATGTCTTAGTTTTGAACCTGGGTATTGGGAAGCCATGTCGTAAGGAATGTGGTTCGGCAACCCCTCTCCCCACCCACCATGGAGTGTCAACAGGGACGATCTTATATCGCAGCAGATCTCCAAGCTGCAAGGACCGGGCATAAGGGGGTGTTATACTCCAGCGAATTTGACATGAAATGATGTAGCTGTCTACCAGATTACAGGGCAGGATTGTTCGGCCCATGACAATCAATTTGAGACGTACAGAAATCGGAGGTCAGCATCACCAGATTGGCCCACGAGCCACCGCCTTCTGTGCATGGGTCTGCAAGGCTAATTTGTTTTGGCAGAATATCAGTGAACATTTTTAACATGATAGAGACAAATGCTTATCCATTCGTCGCTATTGACCAAAGAAAGTTTCATACTGAAACTGTTAACATCGTTTCAAGTCATTTTTCACCGAAGGTCAATGCATTCGCATACATCTGACGTCGGTTCAAGAGGATCAACGTAAACTAAGAGTCACGGGTCACAGTTAAACTTCTTCCGTCTTTCCTTTAACGGTGTCGGCCCACGACAAAAAAGGGTGATAGCTGAAATATTTCCAAGGTCAGGATACTGTGTAATGTTATGCAATTAGCTTCATCTTCAATTCAATCCGTACTATCCATGTAGACATGTTGGTGCTTCCGGTTGAACCGCTGACTTTTGGAGGTCAGTGACGCAACCTACGGCAAACGGATTGCCCAATTTGGTCGCCTCTTACAACCAGCAATGGGGTGATGTGGACCTATTCCACCCCGGGTCCACACGGGGGCGAAGAGCCATTGGCGTAACCCAGCACCCACCACGAGGAGGTTGCTCTCATAGAGGGGATCGAAGACACAATTAAATGCAGGGTTAGCTTTGTTAGAGTATAGGTTTGTAGTATATTGTAAAGATACTTGTATACGTCGTTGTGTTAGAGATGGTTCATCTGCCTCGACGTAGACACTGTCAGCAGGAAAAGTTCTGAAGGACCCTAGACAAAGTCACGTACGTGATTCTATTGTTTGTGTAGATATTGCAGGTGAGAATATCAGAGGATATCCGTTTTAACCCAGGTCAAGTTTGTCTGACAGCATGCAGATGACCTTGTGATTCTAGTGTTTGCTTCTGACAGACGTCTGGTTATGGAAGCATAGCTTTCCTTATGTTCTGAGGTTTGCACTAGTTTTTTGGCATCTGCAAAACTGATGGTTTGGATGGATTTTACTTTATTGATCTCCATTTGATGTTTCCAAACAGGACAGTTTTTAGGGTAAGATGGGTGATCACCTTCACAGTTGGTACATTTTTTTACATTACTGTCACAATCTTCTGTTGTATGTGTCTTTTCACCACAGTGAGCACATACAACAGACAATGTACAAGTATTTATGCCATTACCGAACTTTTGCCAATTGAAACACCTTAGAGGGTTCGGAATGTACGTGTCAACATTGATCTTACAATATCCTGCCTTTAGAAGAGCTCTTAGCGTTACCCAGCACCCACCACGAGTTGGTGGCTCTTCACGGGTGCGCCCACACTAAGAACACGTACATGTAAGTTTTATTCATGGACATCTGTTACGCTTCATATACACTTAACATTAATAACTATTACATGGAATGAATACATTTATTCAGTCAAATTTGTGGTATCGTATATGAGAACAATACTATTCATATGTTCACATTACTGTACGACATGTTAAATCATAACAATGACTTGGACATGTTGTTTGATCACCATTTAGTCCGTTTTGCTCACTCCTTTGCAGTCGTCAAGGTTTTTCATTCGTTTAACTTCATTCTGATAGCGTCGAGGTCCATGCATATATTGTTCATAGTACTCTATCGTAGATTGCCTAACTGGCCCGATATAGAACAGCTGTAATGGTACAAAAAAAGTACATTTGACAAAAGATAATTCACATTTAGTTTATTCACGGCGTCCGAAATATGGAACAATTTTTTTAGCAAAGGTTTTTAAGAACACAACACGTTTTAACCGTGCCATACGAGAAAACAATGCTATCACTGCCACATAATAGTCCTGTTTGCTGTGGAAATGTTTTACATCCTTGTGTCATTAAGTTTGTTTGAGGGTTGTTTAACCCCGCACTCAGCCAAATTCCATTTTATTACCTACGAGGGCGAGCATATCGGGGTTCATATTTTTCATACGATGCCCTAGGGCAAAATATCACTTTGTCATGGTGCCGTGACGTCATGAACAATGGCATGACGTCACGTTTCTTCTCTGACGTTGCGTTCTACATGCGGCGACGGCTGGTAGCCAGCTTATGTTTGAAAGCAGGTTGTTGTATTTTCCTCAGGTTAACGATTTCAGTAATAAATGGAATATTATATTCATGCCCATGTCATACTATGTTTACGACACTCGTGCCTAAACATCGGTATATCCCTCGCTCTCCCTCGGGAAATACCAACATTTAGGTACTCGTGTCGTAAACATAGTATGACATGGGCACTCATATAATATCCTCAATATATGTAGGTTATTCATCGAGTCTGGACGAAACAATCCAGTGATCAACAACATGAGCATCGATCTACACAACTGGGATACGATGATACTTGTCAACCAAGTCAGCGAGTATGTGCAATCGATCCCGTTAGTCGCTTCTTATGATAAACATGGGTTGCTGAAGACCAATTCTAACTCGTATCTTCACGGGTGGTTTATGCATGTCATTGTACAACAAGTGCGTAGATCGATGATCATGATGTCAACGACTGGAACGTCTGGTCCAAACTCGACTGACTACAGAGAGGTGTCCTACACCTGGAATATTGTTTAGTGTAGAGTTAAATAAGGAACATGATCCTCTTGAAGATGTCAGCTGAAGACTTGTCCATCATAGTTACCTCAACTGTAACGTGATGCATACATAGAGAATACTACCAGAGGATTCATTACATACGAACTTACAAAACGAGTTTTGTATATTTCGTATTTAATGAGACCAATCCTGCTATTTTATTCATTACCCACGTCTAACCTGCATAAAATTGGCAAAATAGTGTATCTTTGCTACTGTTCCACTTTCGATCCGAAACTGGTTTCATTAAGAAGTTGAGAAAGAATTTTGTCATCCAATCAAATCTTTAGCGAGGTAACCCGTGAAGGCCCGGGCTATAATATTGGCCTTCAGTAACCCATGCTTGTCTAACGGGATCGGGTGGTCAGTCTCGCTGACTTGGTTGACACATGTCATCGATTCCCAATTGCGTAGATCGATGCTCATGTTGTTGATCACTGGATTGTCTGGTCCAGACTCGATTATTTACAGACCGCCACTACATAGCTGGAATATTGCTGAGTGCGGCGTAAAACTAATCGGTTATCCTATCGAATTGTTAGAATCTGAGGTCTAGTCGTTACAGCACAGGTCAACGCAATACGACATTCGTGTAACGTACGAGATTAGTATGCCATACGTTGATCACGTGGGTAATAATTTACGGTGTATATATACGAGCGGCAACAAAATGCACACTGGGTGAGTCCTGCGTTTCACATGTGCGTAAAAATATGAAGCCTGTGGTCTAGTATAATACAGATTGCTGTATGCTATTTACCTGTAGAATTCTAAAAATTGCTCCAATAAATAGTTGAACATTTATATGTGTTGGTGTGTCGTAATGAAACAATTCAATCTGAAGATACTTACTTCCACCGGATTCGCTGCGAGAGTTTTAAAACATGTCATTTGCTGGCCGGATTTGGCGGTGGTTATAGTTTTCTCAACTGTCCACTTCATCATCTGGTAGTACTCCAGTGTTGACAGGCCTGGAAGTAGTAGTGGTGAACATTGAGATCTGTACCTGTACAAGACGTATAACTTCCACGTTCCTTTTTCAAGCTTTCTCTTTTCGTGGAGCAACAGCTCAAGCTTTTAGTGAATTTCTCTTAGGCCGAAAGTCCCCAAAACATCTTTCAAGATTTTTTTCCAAGAGGCTCCTTCGACGTTTGCTTGAATGCTCAACTAAAGGTCATACGAATGTCTCGCATAATCTGTATTGGTAATAAGTCATTATTAAATGTAATGTTCCCAGTTGTGCGAATGACAGGTGCTACATCCAGGACTACACATGCTTTTCCCGAACATCTGGTGTAAAAAACGCTTTTCAGTGTTCCATGTACAAAGTGAGTGAATTTACAAATAAAGTCACATTGGCAATATTCCGCCATATCGTGCCTTTTAAAGCTTTATATTATTATAGAATCTCAAACCATATACAAACTAGTAAAAAATGGACAGTAAAAATAGAATATCTGCGGTGAAGATGACGAAGCGATGTAGACAGTTTTATGGGTTTACACATTTCCGACAACCCACAACATGGAGGAAGACAAGCAATAAAACTGCGGTGTATAACCATGATGAAAGGAAGTAAAGGAACGTCGTGTACAAAATTGAACAAACCCTTTTGCTGTGTCTACAACAGTACCTGAATACTTGCAAAAAATGGACTACAGGACGGAGAAGGACACTATCGAATATTTTCTGAACAGTCTCCATTAGGCATAACTGACAAACAAATCATGAACATTATAGAAACTGACCTCCAAAAGTCAGCGGTTCAACCGGAAGCACCAACATGTCTACATGGATAGTACGGATTGAATTGAAGATGAAGCTAATTGCATAACATTACACAGTATCCTGACCTTGGAAATATTTCAGCTATCACCCTTTTTTGTCGTGGGCCGACACCGTTAAAGGAAAGACGGAAGAAGTTTAACTGTGACCCGTGACTCTTAGTTTACGTTGATCCTCTTGAACCGACGTCAGATGTATGCGAATGCATTGACCTTCGGTGAAAAATGACTTGAAACGATGTTAACAGTTTCAGTATGAAACTTTCTTTGGTCAATAGCGACGAATGGATAAGCATTTGTCTCTATCAACGCAGAAATCCTTTTGAGGTCTTATATTGTTGTAGAAAAAACAAGCACACCTGGATTACAAGTTAAGGGTCTTTAAGGGTCCAAACCCTAGACATTTCAATAATCTGTAGTCACTGGCCGCAGATTATTTCTTGAATACTTTCTAAACAACAGGGAAGTATCGGCCTTCACGTTAAGACGCTTAATCGGACTTTAACTATCACTTGAAGGTACATAAAAAACTTCACATATACAACAGATTAAAAAAATCTGTAATGTAGAAACGTAGACGCATGCGCTTCTCTTACGACAGTGTTTACCATTGACATGAAGATTCACACTGTCAATCACAATGTATTCACTATCGAAAGACGTTGCCCAGAGATCATCGGAATTGTTGACACCGAGCCCCCTGGCGAAGTCGCTGATGTGGTAGAGGGATTTCGTGCTGAACTCATATCCCCGCCGTGATAGAAACCCTGTCAGCTGGGACCATGCACATGCTTTCTCAACGTCAAGAACTGAAACACGTAAAACATAAACGTACTTAACACAACACAGATTTTCCAAGAATAATTGTTTGGAGGATCATACCTATCGTAGAACAATTTATGTGATATTCTCACCTGAAGTTTTGATAACCAAAACAAACCTTTTCTCAAACAAATTACAGTAACATTGCCGGTGTCAACTAATACATTTGTCTTGCTATAATCCCACCATCTTCTGTAAATAATTATCAATGCAATATGCGGAAAACAGATATTGCTGTCACAAATCACAATATCATTTGGGTATCTCTACGTTTTATCTTGTTTCCTTTGTAAGCAATTAAAGTAGGAAATTGAAACCATATTAATAAACTGTAACTCTCAACTGCATTAGAATAAGTATCAAAATGATACATTGTAGCATATGGTTAATTCAATAAAAGGGAAATTTCATTATTACTGACAGTCATATATCACGACACGAGTATACATTTGCTTGTATCGAAATGTATTGAAGAAAAGTTTTCACATAAACCATCAACACAAAGGAAAAGCTCTCTCGATTTCAAGCCAAAACAAGATTCAAAGGGTGCCAAAAACATGGTTGTGAAAATGTATTATAATGAATCATTGAGAATCAGTTAAAATCGGTGAAAGGATGAGCATGTGCTGTCATATAGGATGACAATTTGTGGACTTACCAAGAATAACCAGTGGATTCCCGAGCTCCTGTTGAAAAATAGATTTTTTGTAAACAACTTGATATTTTCAATAATGTTCAAGTAGGCATACCCTTATGCTGGAATAACCGCTTGAACAAACAACTCACTCTTATGTTTAATAGTTAGATTGATATATATAGAATCAATGTCAAAAATACCATGACCAAGCAAATGTGAAAGGAGAAATGACTACAACTCTCTAGCAGTCATTTCCCCTCCGATTTAGATCAATATTCAATTTCTCCATCACTGTATACAATGAATCCAGTATTATACGTCCTCAAGAAAGGTAAACATAAGGAAGATACAGAAGACAAATCCATTGTCTAAACAAATGTAGTTGCAACCTCGTCAAGGTCTTTTTGATAGTATAAGGGAGAAACAAACTGATTGCATTTATTCACTGATGATGAGAAGTACACTAAACATTTCAATAACTGTACAAACCTTAAAGGAAAACAGAACACGGATGCCAGATAATTGTTTCAATGTCTTCCGAATGCGTAGTATATCCTTTTTCTCATTCCTCCCCTCCTTAGGGGGCAGAACAATGTCCACTTTGTATATAAGGGCTTCTCGATCATCAGCATCGCTGAGAACCGACAAGGAAAGGCAAGACAGGGTAATCAGACCGATGACGAAACGCATCATTGGTGCAAGTCTTTTCCTGTTGACAAAAATCACGTTGTTAAAGGCAAGTATGTTCAGGATTTTTTAAATGTAAACCTCATGTTAAAATGGACGAAGAAGCTCAGGCAAGCAGTTGGTGTTCGAATTGCACTAAAGTGACATATTCGAGAAACAACACGTGCAATGTTTACATTACAAGGCCCGACAACCAGATGCTTATCATCTTAGTTTTATCCAGTCGTAAGAAGTGCAGAGGTAAGGAACTGCGTTCGTACTGGAATAATTTTGATACGATACAAGCATCCGTGAACGTCCGGGTTAGAATGTACCTTCAGCAACCCATGTTTGTCGTAAGAGACGACTAACGGGATCTGGTGGTCAGGCTCGCTGGCTTGGTTGACACATGTCATCGGTTCCCAATTGCGCAGATCGATGCTCATGCTCTTGATCACTGGTCCAGACTCGATTATTTACAGACCGCCGCCATTTAGCTTGAATATTGCTGAGTGCGGCGTAAAACTAAACTCACTCAAGCAAAATGACAGGTAAAGAGCTGTGGGGGCAAACACTACTGCCCGTTTTGTTTGGCAACAGAGATGTATCTGCGAAAACAGTTCGAGAACGTCTTTAGTCTACGACATCCGTGTGCATGATACTTCCGTAGTTGAGCAGACAATTAATCGCCGATGAGAAACTTGTTTTTACCAATATGTTGACAGGACACGTTTCTACAGGCGGACATGTGGACATTTACCATGTATTCTGAAAGCGGATCGTGTTTGAGCTTCCGTTACACCAATGGGTTTTAATGATGGGGAACCTGACTACTGGGGTACCAAGAAAGGATTTTGTAAATGGCTGTTGCCGTTTTCGTCACAGAACCACAATTGATTAGTACAACGTTACCAGCATCACAACATGGCGGCAGACAAGATCGCTTGGCGATTATTCCCCTCGAATTAGCAGTCTTCCACGTGTAAACAATCAACATTATTTAGCACACTGATAAACTTTGATGGTGCGAATACATTGAATACACTGAATTTGCTTATTAATGTGTATGTGTTGAAGACAAAGCATTTTTAGAATCGTTCGAGGATGTCGGTAACTCAAAGTCTGGATGTCGGTAACGTGCAATGAATGATGCTGGTAACACATACTGCCCTGCGTTAGTCGGTAAACAGAAATTGTCGGTAAACAGAAATACAAAGGAGATACTAATATCAGTTCTTATGTTTTACACATTAACAGTATGAGCGACTTTTTCTGTGCACCGGAGAGTTGTTGCTTGCCTTGAAGCAGGGTGTGTTTAATCACACTAGTTATGTGGCGTTTCATTGAACTTGAACGGATTTAGATGTGTTTGCGCATTGTCTATTACGCTGAGAGTTTTACTCTGTCCCTCCTCAATTCGGACATTTGACATGTTGATTTCGTTGCATTGTTGACGTTTAAAGTACATTTTACAGTGTGCATTTATTGGGTAGGGCTGAATATATAAATCTATATATTCTGTCAACCTACCTTTAGGGACTGCATATTTTGCAAGTATTTTGGGGGGTTATTCGTTTCAGTGTAAAAGTGTTCACATGTACCTTCATGTTTCTCCGTGATCTCAGGAACCTATTATTAATATCACGGTCATCGCCTATTCAAAAGGTTACTTATATAACTATACACATGAAACTTGATTCAACACCCTCGATATTTTCATATTGTTATGAAACTGAGCAACCATTACCATAAGTATGTATACTGGAAAGCTAAAACTCCATTGTTTGCTGAAAGTTTACATGTTGGACTAAACAAAAACAACAAAATCATGAAAATTTGCAATATTTTAATTTACAAAATAACATGAAAACGTCAACGATGTTTTGTCAACAAAGTGTATCCCTGTACAACTACAGGACTGCAGAGTTCCAAGATGGGAGCGGGGAGTGTATCTCAGTCTGAAAATGTTCACATGAAAAATGTGCTCGTATGACTGCTTTGACCCTCCTCATCATGCTTGTCGTGAGTCTCCGGATTCACTCCAGAGGCAGCTGCTGCCACTCCCGGTGGAAAGTTGCTTCCAAACATGCCAAATCTTGTACAGGCGGATCCAGTGCTTGCACTCGCATCCAATAATGATCCAGACAGAATCCAATGGGCTCAGATCCGGGCTCATAGCAGACCATGGAAGTTTGGTTACATTGTTGTTGGAGAAACATTGTCACAAGTCAGGAACGATGTGGTCGGGTGGTCATCCATAAATACAGACCCAGTGCCTAATGGGTGGTTATCAAAATGTGGCACAAGAACAGGATCCAGAATGAGATTCTTGAGAGGCATTTAGAAGTTGGTGAATATATAAGACGAGTATATGGATGGCAACTTCTTGTTTATTGTATAACACAACGTTTCTGGGCTACTTCTTGCCCCTTTTTCAGGTGATTAAAGACATATGCAGAAAGCAAAATTTATTACCCACGTGGTCAACGTATGGGTAGTTGCATACTAATCTCGTACGTCACACGTGTGTCGTATCGCGTTGACCTGTCTCGTTATGACTTGACCTGAGATTCTAACGATGTGATTGGATAACCGATGACCTCTCAATTAGGTCACATTCTGACGTAACTATTTTTTCATTCATAACAAACACGTGAATTCATTCATTCTACAACTTGAATGCATTGTGGGAATGTAAACATCGCGAACGTTACCGTGTCCCTGTTTAATTTTTAGTCGAACTGAGACATTATATCCGTCGAAAAACATAAACGCAATGTTTCCACCAGTGATGTTAGCCGAATGAAGCAACTGCAAACCAAGAAACGGGGTGCTACGGATTAGTTTACTGTAGGAGGCTGTACGAGGCGATGACAACTGACATGCATCGTGACGTCGGTTACCAAGGCAGCGACGTCATTACAGTGTGACGTCATGCAAATATTGTACTACAGTACAAAACTCTTCCGCCACCTATTTATGAAACCGGTTTCGGTTTGAGACCTAAATATTAACAAAAATACGCTATTTTGTCAATTTAATGCATGCAAGACGTGGGTTATAAATAAAATACCACACTCGGTCTCATTACATACGAATTATACGAAACTCGTGACCTTCCTTTGTTATCTGACCTCGCTTTCACTCGGTCAGATACCATAGGAAGGACACTCGTTTCGTATAATTCGTATGTAATGAGACCTCGCGTAGTATTCTCTCTATATATATACCAGATTTACTGGAAGCCAGGTATGTACATGTGTATGCAATCAATCACAGAGGACCGATCAAGAGCAGTAATACAAACAATGATAATTTGGATAAGGTAAAGACAGTTGACACAAATAATGAGGATAAAAGATGTGGATACAGCAGACTGATATACAGGTACTCAAAGGGCAAGTGTACACGAAAATTAACCTTTTTTTTTCTTGCACTTTTTCATCATAAAATGTCTTCAAGTAGTTATATATCCAAACCCGTACATATATCAGAAGTAACTAATTTTTTTTTGTGTTATATGAATTCATATTTTGAACATTTACCGAGAGTTCTATGTCCACAATAAACACACCATGGCTTATGTTCCTTGGAAATGACGTCATTGGTGCCAAAACGATAAACAAATAACGTCGTTAGACCTTATGACACCCATTTCTCGTGGTGCAGGTGTGGTTCTTATGTCTCGATGCGCAGGCTACCGTTTTAATCGACCCGTTGCCTGGCCGTCAGCTCACTATATGGTCAGTTCTATACTGTAATGACATTGCAGTTTGAAAAAACGTATACATTGTACTAAAAGTGTTAATAAGTAACCAAATTGTACAACATATTCAATCTGCTGAGTCGGTCGCCTTTCCAAAAGTATCTTTTTTCACAAAAACTACCACATATATGCACTACATCTAGCTTGCCACCTTTGAATGTGCCGACATTCTACGGCATTGTTACTACAATTCCTACATATATCGTACGATATGTCCCTCCTCTTCCACCTTCACTTTGATATCGATACCATATCCAAATACATCACGCAGATAAATGCAATTTGCAGTTTTGAACTCTGTTTGAAATTCTATGATATCATCCGCTCGTTGTAGATCAAATATACTGAAAATTACATGCATCGTAAATCTCGCCAGTTTTGACACTTTACTAAATCACCATTCACTGCGTTTTGCGTAATTTATAGCATGTCTTAATTCAAACGTCAAATTTTACTGGGAGAATTGAATTTAAAAGAAAAAGACGTATCATTGTGATCAGCGGTAGTTTTGTTGTTTTATGATCGAATCACCAATGCTCGCTCTGAAACATTGTCTATGAACCGAGGAATCGCGGAGAATGCTTTGGAAACTACGCAAACACAATTAACCTCAAAGTGAATTTTCCGCCATATTACAGAGTGTTTATAAAGTAATATTTTATTATTAAAATAGTTTTTAATGATGTTAGTTCCTTATTTTAGCGGCAAGCCAACGACCTTAAGTTATCGCTCTTTATGTTAATTAGAGTTATCTCCCTTGACCTAATTTTTGTCGTCCTAGCGGTTGGAATGGCGGCATGCTTGATCTATCGTGACGAAAAAATCAGTCAATTGGTAAGGAAAAACATAATGGCAGAAAGTATACAGGAGGTAAAACCCAAGCGCAAGACCGCTGGTAACCGGATGCAAGACGTGATGGAAGCTTTGAAAAGTCCAGTATCGCAGAAACAAGGAAGATCAAGCCTTACACGAGTGTCCCCTGTGTCCTTGTCGACAGACGCCATGACAGCTCCGGCTGGCGTGGAGGAAAATGACTTTGATTCTGAATATAGACGATTAAGTGAAGAGTTACATCAACGCAGGTTAGAAGACAAGAAAGCCGAACTCAGAAAAGAAATTGACATATTAAAGGTGAAACTGACTCGTGAACAGGACGATCACGTGAACAGAGAGGTCAACCAAAGTGAAGGTCAAAGACGTCAAGATGGCGGCGCCAATGGTAATAACAAACATTTAGACTACACAAATTTTCTATGGGTCAATTCACTGGATACGGC